GTATGACCAAAAAGAAGGAAGACAAGGAGGGAGACAAAAGGAGACAGGACGAACAGGAAGGAGACAGAAAGAGGCAGAAAGGAGAAAAGGGAAGCAGAAGGGAGACAAGGCGGACACAGTGACCAACAAGAAGGGAACCGGAGACAAAGGGAGACAGAAGGGTGACAAGGCGGACACATTGACCAACAAGAAGAGAGACAAGAAGGGAGACAAAAGGAAACAGAAGGGCGAAAAGGCGGACAGAGTGACCAACAAGAAGGGACAAAGGGAGACAGGAGGGAGACAAGGCGGACACAACGATCAAGAAGGGAGACAGAGGGTGACAAGCCGTACGGAAGGCGGACACGAACAACAACAACAACAAGAACAAAAAACACCACCACAACAACAACAATAATAACAATAGCAATAACAATCACAATAACAACAAAAACCATCTGGGTGCTTCCTCATTTTTTTTTCTTCTTCTTTTTCTTGCCCCCTCCGAAGATGGTTCGAAGGGCTTTGAAGGCCTTCTCTCTCTCTCTCTCTTTTCTTTTCCTTCTTCTTCCCGGATCGGCCTCCCTTGTATGCTTCTGCTGCTCGTTGAACTAGGCTCGAAGTCACTCTAGCCGTCGTGGGCGCATCTTTCAAACTCAGCATAATGACTTCTTTTGGCGCCCCCAATGCAGTTGATGCTCTCGCACGGCTCCTATCAGCGAGATCCTTCGCCTCTCCAAGCTTCCCCGAAGTCGTCAATGGCGCGACTGCAGGGGATACACCGCCATCCCCCTCTTTCTCCACGTCCACGCCACCGTTCCTTCGAGCCGCTCCACCCTCCAGCCTTGTTGACGGGCACGGATCTCCAGCCTGTCTCTCAAAGCCTCTGGCGCCTGGCGCCGTGGTACCTCCTCCAGCGCCATCGTCTCCTCGCTTCTGGCGTGTTTTTCTCCTCCTTTGCCCTCTCCCCGGATTCTTCTGCCTCTTGGGGGCCTTTGCTCAGCCCACCTCAACAGTCTCCGATCCTGTCAGGATCTGCTTCAACAACCTGCGGCCACCTGTCGACAAACGGTGACGTGGAAAAGTGGGTCCATCCCACAACTCCAAGCTTTGTGCGTGGAAAACACCACCGTCGTGCGAGCACGGTCCCTCTGCCAGACAAATGTGGAGAGCGCCAGCCCGCCTGTTGAAAGCTGATGAAAGCTGTCTCCCTTCTGTCCCCCTCCGGTCTTGTTTCCCTTCTACTGTGTCCGCCTTGTCTCCGTTCTGTCTCCCTTATTGCTGCACTTGTCTCCCAGCTCTGGGCTGCTAATTGTCTCCCAGCTCTAGGCTGCTACGTCTGCCTCTCGCTTGCAATCCTTTACATTTGCCCAGCTTGTTGCTGGTCCGTCTGGGCTGCTGTGTCCGCCTCTGCCTTGCAATCTTTTACATTTGTTCTCAGCTCTGGGTCGCTGTGTCCGCCTCTGCCTTGCAATCCTTGAAGTACATGTATCTCCCAGCACTGACTGCTGTATCCGCCTCTGCCTTGCAATCCTTTATTTGTCTCCCAGCTCTCAGCTGCGCTTGCAATCCTTTACATTTGTCTCCCTGTGTCCACATGTGTCTCCCAGCTCTGGACTCCTGTGTCCGCCTCTGCCCTGGACGTCACAAACTCTAGTTGCAGTGTTCCGATATTGAAAAACACAAACTGTTTGGGGCCTACGGTGGGGTAATTTGTTGAAAGACACGTCTTTAAAAGACACGAAAACATACATGTTGTGGCATGTTTTTTTCACAAGTAGTTTTTGCTTTACGCATGGGTTCACGGAGAAGCGACGTGAAGATCATTGTTTCCATTGACACCCCCCACAGGAAAGACAAAGCAGAGCGGGATTGTTCTAGATTGAAATTCGTTTGCAGGTCTAAAATAGCCGCGCGTGAGGATCGCAGGTTGTTGTTCATAATCTGGTGTTGTCCAATATGTTCGAAAGCAAACGCACAGCACACTGTAATTTTATACGGCATGGAAATGTGTGGAACCTGGTCTTTGTTTTTGTTCTTGTTCCCCAGATAGCTGAAGTTATGGAGGTTCTTACTTCTCAAACACTGGGTGGCTGATTGGCGTTTTGGTCCACTGCCGCCTTGTCTCCCCGCTTGTCTCCTTACATGTCTGCCCGCTTCTCTGCCATTCTTTGCCCACTTCTTTGCTTGCGCTACCCTGTGAAGGGACCAAACATACAAGCTACAAAAAGTATGCTTTGCCCTCTGCAACGCAGGTATGAGCCATCGGTGTTCTCGGAAGGGAGTCGCAGGTATGAGCCATCCCCACGCAGATGAGGCGCTGGAGAGCGACGTGTGTGCGCGGACGAGACCAATGTGCGTGTGCCTTTGAGCCCACGCCCTCCCCACTTGTCTCCCTTCATTTTTCAACGTAATTATGTGTGATCGGCGTTTTGTTTGCCGTTATTGCCCTGTCCATCCCTGTCCCCTTACTTATTTTCCCACTTATCTCCCCATTTGTCTCCTGACGTGTCCGCCTGTATGATCGGCGTTTTCTTTGCCGCTGCTGCCTTGTCTCCTTACTTGTCTCCCCAACGAGGGTCCTAGACAGCAGTTTTGCCGCAGCCTTGGCCATAGGCCATTGTAGGCCATTAGGTTCTGCAAGCAAAAACTCGTGGAAAGGTCCCAAGCTGCAGTTTCGACACCCACTGAAGTGTCTCTTCGCTTGTGTGGCTGTGCTTTTAGAGCTACTTGGTATCTGGGTCTATGCCGGTGTGATTTTTAATCTCTTAGCAACTGACTTGTTGTTTGAGTCAGCATTTGCGATCAGGCTTTACAAAAGCACATTTCCAACTGCATGTCCCGACTTCATTCATGTTGCCGTACCATTCTTTTCAGGAGATTTGATCAAGGACGTATATGCGCGCATCAACGAGGAACGCAGTGTGCTGTCTTCGTTTGTTCTGTTATTGTTCATCAGAGTACATGTTGTGATGACCTTGAGAGGAAATGATCAGAGTTACAAAGGTCATGGATGAACATCGTGCTGGGCTTAGCAAGCGAGCCAGCATCACTAAAAACCGCACGCAACCTCCGGAGATGACCCCAAATCACATCGCTGCAGATTAGCCCAATGTCTGGTGCAGAGACATCAGGCTTCAGAACAAACTTGGATACCCATCCACAGATGATGGTCCCGGCCGCAAAATCCACAACAGTTTTTGTATTTGCCTTGCACGGTGCATGTGGTTGTGATCAAGCCACAACCGGTATAAAACTTGCAGGGCTAGTTTTCTGACAGCGTATTTGGCTGGGCTAGTTGCTGGCTATGCTCATTTGGTTGGAAAGCAGCCACGTAAGAGTTGGTAAATCTTCTTTGGTAGGACACAGTTGCAAACATGCATTCTTTGGCCAACACGTATTCTTTGTCCGAACATCCTGCCACAGTAAGCCTTGTGATAGCCAACCCAACATGCACAGGTGCAGCAGCTTTAGAGGCGCAAATGGGAATTCTTGAATCTGCTTTCGCATCACTTCAAATTGCAGGCTGTGGCCCAGGAGCGTTGGGCCAGAAGCAGAAGACCAAGCAACAGCTGACTTGTTCTCATTCTTTTTTGCAAATGCTGGTATGCCGGTTTCAGTCAAGTATACGGGGCACATGTTTGAGAGAAAGCAAAAGTAGCAAGTCGCTAGCTTCTCAACCTTGCTCAAGGCGAGGATGCAGCGGAACTGAGGGCAACTTTTGGGGCAATGCGGAGTCAGGCGGTGAACCTTGGAACAAATGGAAGCACAATGAAACAAAGTGGAACGGATCAAACAAACGTTCGAACGTTTTTGAACAAGAGGTGTCTCACTTGAACAACGTATCGTTCTGTCTGGTCGGGTTAAGCAGGCATGCAATGTTGAAAAGAAGGATGTGCAGGAGGGCCTCCTTTGTCGAGTTTCGGCAGCCATTGCACAACTGGGCCGTGTGTTGGCAACTTGGACTTGCCGCCCATCAGGCAGTTAATATGCGAGGGGAGGAGCAGCTGACTGCAGTTTTGCTTTTGCTCAATCCTTTGTTCTTCATGCAAAGTACTTGGAAGCCCCTAAATGGTTTTCTGAGGAGCACCCGGAAGATCCTGAAGACCTCTACACATTATATGCAGAAGCTGGCTGTGTTATATATTCATTTTCAGTCAACCAAGACGCTCTAAAGTGAACAAATTTGCCAGGAAATGGTGCGCGAAGCACTGGGTGATACTGCTCGGCACACAGCATGCGCTCGCTTTGCAGGGTTTTGGTTTCCCAATAACTTTACCATCTATGCCTTGGCCGATAGGTTCATTCTATAAGATGACTTTGTGCAGGTTGTTGAAGGGTTTCGTAATGTTTCGCTGTTTCACTCTGCGGATGTGCAACTGAGCAGCGCTCAACTGACTGTTTCAGCACGGCGGGCTGTAGCACACTTGCATTATATATCAGGGACAGTCAGGGAGATTTTCAATGATATTTCTCATCTCATTGTCTCATCTCACATTCATATCACTTTGCACAACCATACTAAAAACATTGGGATAGTTTGCGAGTGAGTGCTATTTCATATTGTGCGTGGATCCGAAATTGTTTCTACAGTCGCTCATCTGTTGTACAGGTCCATTTGCGGCAACTTCTGGCCGAAGAGAAGTCAGAGAGGATTCACGAGTTTTCCTCCAACAGGCTTGGCGTTGACTTCATTGAAACCTCAAGTGACTGATTGACAAGCAAGGCAACAGATGGACATGCTCTCACGTGAGCTGAACACAATGCAGGCTCTCTTAAGAGAGGCGAGTATGATGCTCGAAAGCTTTCGAGAGTGTGAATTGTCGGTTTGAGATGTTTGAGAAAGCGGACAGAGTAGAGGACAGAGTAGAGGTGCTTATCCCATCTTATCCCTTCGATCCACCAAGACGCGCATTTGTCACCAGGCAGCCGCTGGTCGAACAGAGGCGGCCTGTTGAAGAATGGCCGACTACGTTGACCCCAATATGCCGATAAACCATGAACCGATATCGCGCCCTCCTCCCCGGGTACACCCACAGGCCCAGTAGCAGTTTGGGCCGCAGCCTTAGCCAGATTGAACAAATCTTCGAAGGACCCGCTGGCAACTGGTAAAGCAGCTTTTGATGAAAGACACGCAGCTGTCTTGATGCTTTCAGGAGAGCCTTTGAAGACTGGGTTTTAGCCCCAGGATAGATGGTTAATGAATTGAGCCACTAGAAGAAGAGGTCCAATATGGACATCTTCCAAAGCACATAGTTTGATGCTCGCCAGCTGAGCGGACAACGTCGCAAGAGGTTGTCAATGTTGAACCACCAGGCAGCCAAGGCAGACTTGGAACATGTGAATGAAGTTGCTACTTTTCCCTGTGCCACGCCCCTCAAACTCTCTCATGGCACCATGCGAAGCAAGATTGCAGCAAAAAAATTGGAGCTTTTGTTGTTAGCGCTTTGTTCAACTGAACATAGTTGGACGCCACCAGCTATCACAGCGACTATGTGTACATAGTACATGTTCAGACTATAATATTCACTTGTTTTCTCGTTTACAAATCATACACAGACCTTGGCCCTTCCATGGCGAGCCAACGAGCCAAACAAGGTGCTTGAAAAGACACCACAAGAGCCAAATCACTCAAACTTACAGATCTGAAATCAAACTTATAGATCATGCTTACAGTAACCTCCTTTGATGACACACCTTGCTTTCCTTGAGGGGAATCAGCAGCTGGAGCCAACCCTGAGAAAGATAATTTGCCTGAGGAGCGGCTGGTGCAGGCTAGGATTTCAACCAATGTCATCGCAGTTGGGGTTTACAACTTGCGAATATCAGTGTGTGGCAAGGTCTTGGACCAAGTTGTCCAAGGTGTGCTCAATGATTCGTCCTTAGCCTTTTCTGGACACATTTGTAGTACTTCACAGAGCCTTGGGATGCCCCGGGCATGAGACAAGGCACCACCGCCGACTGCAGCTGGGGTGCCTCAAGCGATAATGGAGGCGGTGGATTCCCTTTCCAGCATCAGATTCGGATGCGTTTTGAAATAGCATGACATGGCTTTACTGTACTTGTGTTGTGCTGTGCACAGCAGAGCAAGCAGCACGAAGACATCCAGTTTGCACTTCCAGACCCTTTGTCTTGCTCACCCACGGTACAAAGACTGGGCCGAGTTTCGCGCCAAAAAGGCCAGACTCTCTACGAAACAGTTGCCGGTCAAGTATCTTGCCATTCTGCCTTTTGGATTTTCTGGTTTGTGAGTGGTTGCAAATGGCAATTGTACTTTTGTGTTCACTTTCAGGCTGAGGAGAAGCAGCTTCAAGAAGAGCTTGAGTTGAAGAACAAGGCGCTGTTGCATACACTGCACAAGGCACAAAGCGTTTTTCTCCATTTCACTCCATGGCGAAATTGGCGGCGCGTTCTCGCTCTATGTCCAGACCGAAAAGCTTGGTGCACCTGGTGGGCCGAGACGCACCATGAAAGACAAAGCGCTGGAGAAGGCCGAGGGGAAGAAAACGATGCCCTTGTTACTGGGAGAGAGGAGCTAGTACTAGTAATAGCCCTTTGTTACTAGTAGCTTCTTGTTCCTAGTAATGCCCTTGTTACTAGTAGCTTATCACGAAAGGTAGCCCTTTAGGGGATACCTTGAGTTTGTCTTGCGAAGCAAGTGTTGGGACGTCCGGGTCTAATAATTGATCACTCAATTCAACCCCCCCCCTGGAATTGAGTTCTCAATACAGACACCCCCCCCCCGGCCCCCTTGGAATTGATTTTTCAATAGAGACCCCCCCCCTCTAAATTCAATTCTCTCCTGGAGAACGTCTTCGTGAGCCTCTCAGGATAGTTGAAACCCTCTTGAACATTCAGAAAGAGTGCATATGAAATTCTAATCACGAAAGGTGTTCCCCGAGGGGATACATACCTAGAGTTTGTTTTGTGAAGCACGTCAATTCTCTCCTGGGGAGCGTCTTCCTGAGCCTCTTATGGTTTCAGGATAGTTCAAATCCTATGATGCTCCGATTCAATGCTCACCGATGATCTGAGCCATGGGGCAAGCTTGTTTTCCTAAGAATCTTTTTGAACATTTCGAGAGCATATGTTTGAAAATTTAGAGTGCATATGAACATATATTTACGAAAGGTCGCCTCCGAGGGGATAAATCATCATGTCGAACATTGCATTTTTGTTCCTGCCTCTCGCTTTCTCTTCTCTTCCCGCTGTCCTACCTTTCGTGTCTCCCTCCTCTCAAGTTCATTTGGCTTCAGAATGAGTGGCTTCAGTTTGAATGGGCTTGTGACCATGTTTGCCAGGCCAAAGAGTTGGGCAGGACCCCCAGGATGCTTCTAGGGCCCTGGAAGTTCAACGGAAAACGCCTAAACTTGACAAGGCATTGGCTGCCACTTGAAGCTCAGGTCAGCTTTCAAGTCCGCGAGACGAGGAAGATCAGGCACATAAACGGAAGAAGACGAGAAGTGAACCCACGAGAAGTGAATGGTACTTTACTCGCTGGAACTTGTAGCGGTAGTTTTGCTGAACGTTTGTGGCTTGAAGACTTTGCACCAGGAATGATTGGTCACAGCATTCAAGATTCTGTACTAACGTGATTGCTGAAATAATCAGCCCTCTCACGGTTTCACCGCTCGAAAGCTAGCGTCCTGCGACGGAAGGAAACTATGTGTGTTTTTGAAACTTGCAGTGTGACACCATGGCAGTGATAGTTTGGGAATCTTGGTGGAGACACACGGGCAACAGTGGATGTCCAGCCTTTCATTGCATGCATTGATTTAGCCGTCCGCTGTTTTGCAGAATGGATTGACGAAGTTTCCACACTCAAACGGTCAGAAACCCAAACAGAACATTCAGCTAAAAATCAATAACTACTCCTGAAGTATCGTCGGATCAGTATGGGAGACCAGCGCTGAGCCTTGTGGGGGGCCTTGGAGGGTAGCTTTTGAGCTCCGCGCCGCAATGCAGCTGATCCCGCCTTTGCCCTCGCAACCGGTTCCTCCTCCTCCATGGTCAAACTACAACACCAAAGTCAGCATTCTTCACTCAATGAAAAAGAAGCTGGGGCACATGGACACAGAGATGTACCCTCTGGGGCAGAACCCAGGCTACTCGAATCCTTGGGTTACCATGCCGCATCCAGTTATTCCGGCTCCAAATACACTTCAATATGGAGGGCCATGGCCAACTGCAAGATCACGCAGCCAAATTCCAAGCCAGACCCATGGTGGGTGGGTGCAAGCTCACATCAACAGCAAAATAGACACTGAAAGAGAGACATTGGCAGAAAAGCTCCAAGATACAGCATCCCAATTCTACGCTCAAGTAAATGGGTGGTTTTTGTCCTTCTATGAGGGCACTTATCCTTCTATTGGAAGACTTTTATCCAACATAGACCTAAGGTATGTACGGCGAGTGCAGATGATGCCAGAACTGCTGGGGAATGTCGTTGTCAGTCTGATTCTTGAGTCAGGGAGTTTTGAGTTTCATGTGCCGAGCAGAGGAGAAGCTGAAGGGTGGTGTGCCGCCATCACAGCTGTGATATTGGGATGGTCTCAACTTCGAATAGATTCAGAGGTGCAGCGGCCTTCTTCCTTTAGCACCCTGCCGCGACAATCTGAATCAAGTTCAGTGGTTCCCAGAAGGAATGAGTTGAGCCATTCTCAATTGCGCCACGCATGGGCTGCTTGTGTCAGGGCAGTGTCCCAAGGCAATCCTGCACCAACTGAAGCCTTTGAACACATTTTCTCGCTCTACGATCAGGATCATAGTGAAACCTTGTCTCTACAGGAGATCAGGTCGATGCTGAAAGATCTCTTGGCGCTGCGGAACAGTGAAGCTCAACATGCGCTGGAAAGACATATTCCTGAAGTTCAGAAGTATCAGAGAGGAGGCGCTTGTCACTTGGATTTCAAAACTCAATCCCGGCTCTCAGATGCTGCTCGCAACGCGTCTGCGCTTGGCACTACGCTGGTGGCAGATTATGCAAGACTGAGCGACAGCTTTGAGTCCAGATGCATCCTTTTGCAATCTCAACTTGACTTGTCGGCAGATCAACTTGTGGCCTTACCTGAGTTCTTGGCAGCAGCACCTCGAGTGCTTCTACCTGAGAGTGAGTTGAAAGCTGAAGCGCAGTTTTACAATTCCATCTCTTTCATCTTAAAACTTACTCAAAAGGCACAACCTGCAGATTTGGACTGTGACGACGCTGGCATTTGCGTTCATCAATAGGGGTGCTGATCTTGGATGAAAAGAAGTCTCTTACACTATTGCAGCCTTCAACATGTGTACTAGTGGATGCAGATGGTGTGCAATCCACTTGGTGCAATGCAGCGTATGAGTCATCTCAGGCTCAAGTTTAAGTTTAAGCGAAGGCTTGTGTTTCGCCTGCGGAGTCTTATTCGGTGCTATTGAGAGGGGTCAATCAGGGTATGAATAGGTAGATACTCACCAAACTGAAGTGTGACTCGCAGGGAGCTTTAATTATAATATTATATAATATTTAGTTCTAATTATAGTTCTTGTTTCTATTAGCAAACATTTTTCCTAGTAGTACGGCCAGGAGCCCCTAGTAGCGTCCTTGTTCCTAGTAGCGATGCCCTTTGCTCCTCCTAGTATATAGCGTCTTGTTCCTGCTCGCAGGTCGTCTTGGTACGGACAAAGTTAGTATATAATTGCAATCAGCTCAAAAGGATATCGTGTCCCATGCTGTGGGTTGAGTGGATGGTGAGGGTTAGGGAAGCCAGCTGATGTGATGCCGACAGATAAAGCAGGACTGTGATGCCTTTCATCGTTTTGTGGAACATTTCTGCTACTTTTTCTTGCCAACTATAACAAGTGCATCGCTACTAGTAACCGTGCCTTACTAGTAGTAACAAGAAGCTATTAGCAACAAGTGCATCGCTACTAGTAACAAGTGCATCGCTACAGTGACGCCTTTGAGGATCTGAATTTCTGAGACTTAAAGAGGGCCAGCCTGGTGTTACAAAGCTACCTTCAGGCCTGATGTACAAGGCGCTGTTGACATGAGAGTTCGCGGTCGCTCCACTTCTGGGTAAATGCCGCAACAATCCACTCATTTATTGGAGAATGGACACATTTGTCTTACTGTAAGTTTCTTGTACAGCATGCTTTCCTGAACCAACAGGTATGGTTCAGGAAGAACTTTCTTAAAGGTGTGCTGAGTGTTGGGCCTTGCTTTCAGAATTCCAGAAAATTGAAAGACTTGTTCCAAAAACTTTGCATTCTTGTTAGGTCTTGGAAAGTGGAGCAGGAGTAAAGTCCCCTGGCCCGAATACGCAATGTGATGCTTGGCAAAAGGAGTCCGAAGAATATGAAGCCCTGTTTCATGATGCAGCCAACACGCTGGTTAAAACTCAGCAGCATACGATGTTGTAGCTAAAGTGCTGATTTGAAGAATTGAGTTTTACCTTTCGACCAAGGAGTGTCATTACTCTGGACAACTGATCAAAGGACAGCAACCTCTGCAGGCAACTCAGCAAACATATTCAACGATTTTGGTGCAAAACAAATGCATCCTAAGACTCTGTCCAGGACCGATTAGGAAATAAGATGAGACGAGAAGAACAAGCTGAAAGCCCAAGACGTGCACCGACTCTTTCGCCTCAGGGAGTTCGACTCGACTTACAAGCGTGGCAAGCCTTTGACCTTTGCACCGGCGCAGGCCAAATGGAACAGGTTTGTCATACTTAGTCATACTTTGTTTCTTGAATTGCCGGAGTAGGCTATCAGGAGGATGAGCGTGAGATCTTGGATGATGTTGGTAAGAGATTAGTAGCAAATCACTAATGTAATATAATGTAATAATACGTTTGCAGTATTGAGCGAGTCCCTGTGGCTTTAATTTACAAGAGGCACAGCACATGCAGCCACTCAGAGTGCCTGGTAGTCAGGTAGCATGCAGTCATACATATATCGTACATACTGTACATTCGTGAGATACTCTCCCTAGAACCAACAGGGAAGTGGAAAATGCTCCCTTGGAAGAGCATTTTCCTGTACAAACAGGCGGGTTGCGACTTCCATTTTAGTTCCAGCGAGAGTAGGCCTACTTAGGCAGCTTCCGGCAGGTAGCTGAAAAAAATAGCAAGTAACCTACTTTAGTTGACCGGCCACTTACTTGTGATGTTCATAGGTGTCCGGATATTCCTGACGCTTCGCGTCGACCGCCGCCCACACCTTTTTTTCGGTCGTCTGGGGAAAGACTGCTGGAGTGGACAGGGGAGGTCGGGAGTGGTGTCCAAAGAGATGGCTTTTTTGCCGCAGCGTCTATGGCCATGTTGCGGCTGAGTTGCGCACAAGTTCGCTCGTTTGGTGGCCATGTCAAAGCCAATTCAGGCTCCAAGTTCGACCGTTTTGTGGCCTTGCCCCCGCTTGGTTAGTCCACATTACATCATGTCAAGGCTAGCTTGATCGTTTGGTGGCCCTGTGTTGAGGCTACGTGCGTTTTTTTGCAATAATGCTGGTTATGCGTTGCTGGTCAAGAGGGTTTTTCAGCATCGTGGGTGTCCGTTTTTTGGCTTGTCTGGGTTCTTGCAGAAATAGTTCAAAAATGTACCTCCAACAATGCTGGTTATGCGTTGCTGGTCAGGAGGGTTTTTCAGCATCGTGGGTGTCCGCTTTTGGATTGTTTGGGTTTTTGGAGAAATAGTTCAAAAATGTACCTCCAAAACGCTCTCCTCCATGGCCCTCGAGGCGTAAGACGTTTTTTCCCCGAAACAAAAAAAGGAGGCCCTAGCAGAGCTATGAACTGATTACGATGTGATGATTGACTGACGATGATTCCAGCTTGACCCGCCCCTAACACGCCCTGCACCGCAAGCGGTGTGGGCGGATTTAGAGGGAAACAGTTCTTTCTATCGCTCACTGCTTTCTTAAGCCAGTGAGTTTATAGCGGCAAATGTCGAGCAAACAAAGTTGTTTTGGCATTGAAGCCAAAAAGTAGACATAAGATGACGTAAGTTATAAGTGTATAGATATTTGTAGAAGTCTGTATAACCAACCACGTTGTATGGCCAGAAGTGCTGCTTATGCTCTTCCTTTGCTTTAATGGCAATTGACTTTGTTGCTGACTGATTGTCACAAAGTTATGGCAGCACGCCCTTTCTGCGCAGGTGATTGATGGATGGAAAGAGGTGCCGATTCTGGGTGACATGTTGATTTGCACAATTTGAGCTTTTGGAGGGGATCGCTGACGTCACTTGATCCGTTGACTTGCAGTAACTTTAGATTGGCGGGCGAATCTTCCCACACGCACTGATCTTCTAAGCGCGTGGACATTCGGTCTCACATGTACCATAGATATCACGGGTCACATAAATGATCATAAATGTGTATTCCGGAAGGTGTACCCCGCATTTAGAAAGTATAACATTCCTGGACTCACTGGACTCCAGATTTCATTCCCGGGGAAGTGATTTTTTAGATTTTTGGAAGATGATATTTGATGATATGATGATTGGGGATGTCTCCAGCCCCCTTTTATACATTTGCCTGAAAAAGTATGCTTCCTCAGGCAGTTTCCCCTCCCTTGCTTTCATACATTATCAGGAAATTCAGCTTCCGGACATTGCTGCGTGATTTCCTAAGAGTTGTCCGACCCCATGGCTTCATACAATTTGCAGTGGGGATAGGCCTGTGGCATTGCAGACCCCCCCGCCATACAAAACAACAAGGGCATACGTGCGTTCTCCCCAGAAGCTTGGCCGACAACACGATTGAATAATATGATGTCCATCTCAAAGTATGATAAAAAGCATGTCCATCTCTCTGAATGACTTCCATCTCGCGACTATGTAACTGCGCACAACTCCTTGATACAAGGTATGCCCCCCCCCCTCCTGACATACGCTTTTTTGTTTGTGTTTGCTCCAGAGTTGGGTGACTGTCTTTTGTCGCCGATGATGTTCCACCTTGGGGATGTACAGTTATGTTGTGTCCATATCAAATGTCTTGAAAGTGAAGGGAAAGATATGGACAGATTTTATTCTCTTGGAGTTGTATGCGGCACAGGGGGGCCCACAGAGCAGTTGGAACCAAACGCAAACGAAACCACCCCACAAGCCCATAGGCCCCCCCACCATGTTTGTAACTGTTGGGTCGTGATTGCCCCAATAGCAGCGCTGTACTCGGTACCCCGTTGTGTTCTTACCAAAAAATGTATATACATTTTATATTGATACTCCTTTGTCTCTATGTTCAACCCCCTGTCCGAAAAAGGCTTGTCAACGCTTACCCCCGCGAGCTGCACACAGTAGACAAATTGTATATTCCAATCTCCCTCCCTCTGTAGAGTTAGCCCCAGCGATCCATAGATTGTTCAAGATCAAATTTGTCCATTGGATATGGGTTTTGTACAGTGGCAATTCACCAACAATCCCCGACACCACTCAAGGTGAAAGGTCGCAGGATGCGCTCAGACAGACAAGTACTGTATTGCTGTGGGGTCACGAGTGGTGATTCTTCAGGTTACGGGCTCAACTCCCCCATGGATCCCCTGGTATATGTTTAAATTTGTCTTCAGTTGCGCAGTGGCCTCGCCCGATTGGATTCGTATCCAGTTTGTCGACTTCATCTACCTTTCTACTTATTCACCTTCATCATCACTCACCCCATTTGAGTTCATTCTTATTGTATGGCGGTGTATTCACACCGCTACGCGGGGGAAGCCGTCCGCACAGAGTAATTGTGTAAGTGTAAAGGTAGCGAGGAGACGGGCGGGTGAGTGTGTGGGAGGCAGCAACCTGTGCTCATGGAGCCGGGCGGAAGTGTGGTAATGAGGAAGCAGCGACTTGTGCTCTTGGAGCCGGGAGGAATCGTTAACCGGGCTCAAGAGGGAAGAAGTGCAGAGGGAGGAAAAGACGGCGAAGGAAACACGCAGGGGTGGGAAGTTGAGCCAAAGTTGGGGGGTCAGTGTAGGGCTGGGTGAAGCAGCAGCAATGGGTAAATGGGGCGTAGTGCACTTTGATTTGGGGTGGAAGTATACCGGCATCCGGGGTAGCCGCAGCGGTGGGCAATGTGTCCGCAACAACCACACACACACCATGTCGATCACCTGCTTCCTCGAGACAAGCTTCTCGCGAGCAGACACCCTGGAAGAACACGCGTCCACGATGTCAATAATACAGTCTCCCTCGGGCTGCATGACCGACATCGCGAACCCTTAGCTCCGAAGCCACGCGGACAGTCATACAGTCAATTTTTTTATCAATCTTAAAGAAGCCTTAGAAAGCCCACGTTCTGCGCCAAAAATGCCCTTCCCCCCGAGCAAAAGCAAACCTATGACGAAGGTGCTGACGGATTTTGAAATTGTTTCTTAAGCTGAAATAATCGTTGTGTGTTTGCTTTTGTTGTTTGTGTTATTCTGTTGCTGTTGCTTTATTGTTTTTATTCCTTTTCTGTTTTGTTGTTTCTGTTGCTGATTGCTGCTCTCCGCAAGTTGAGTTGGAGCTGCACCATGTACTTTGGAATTGGTGTATATTTATGTTGCACTACACTTGTTGCTTGTCACTTTTGACGATTTTGCCATACTTTTGATGTGACACGCAGCAGTTGTTAAAATAGTCTGTCAACACATGTGCACTCCTTCTTCCGCATCGCCTCTCAGGGTGGGGATTTCTCGAAGTAAAGTGTCTTTATTTGGTTGAATTTGTTTGTATTGTGTGTTTTTGGGGGAGGGGCTGCGCCCCCCCAACCCCCTTCACCACAAAATCTGCACTATTTCTTCTACCATGCAGCGCCTGCCATGAAAACAGATTTCGTTATATGAGCCACGTTTTTTGCAAATGATTAGGTTTATACAAAAAGGGAACTGTTGAGAAGTCGCGGAGGCTGTTCTGCTTGAGGCGTAGGCGTCGTGTAAGCATTTTGCGTAGGTGGGTGTTGAAAGATTTGCGTAGGCATTGCGTAGGCACCCTTTTCATGAAAGCCTGAATTTTCTTATTCAGACTTCTTTAAAAGTTGTTCAAGGGTCTTGGGGAAAGATAATGTTGGCTTGTAGTTGTTTAACTTGACACTTGCTTGCAAATTCCAGTGGGGAAGGAAAGTGAAAATGAATTGTAACGACATGGCTACAGTGGATGTTTGAAGTTTGTTTGTCGAAGCTATGGGGGCACATTGGTTTTTGAGGTCAAAAGCTTGATCGTGCTTGGTCTGGCACACCGGCTCTTGAGCTACAACTGTGCGCACCCTGTTGGTACCATAATCAATGGACCTATTTTCGCGTAGGCCCCGCGTAGGCGCTCGCGGAAGCAGCGCGTAGGCAAGAAGCTATTGGCTGCTGCTACTGCTTGGCTGCTGCTTTTGCTGCTGCTTTTGCTTGGCTGCTGCTGCTGCTTGGCTGCTGCTGCTGCTGCTGCTGGTGCTGCTGCCTCTTGTTTTCTGCTGCTTGTTTGCTGCTTGTTGCGCGCTGTTTATGTGCTGCTGCTTCCACACTGTAATTGGATCGGCTTGATACAAAATCTATCTGGCCATCGGTGGCAAAGCTGTAAACGCCTTGTAAACAGGAACCTGATGTGACCCGGTCGCATCGGGCCACTACTTGCGGATTATATAGCTCTTTCGAGTCACCTGATGTGACTAAAGTTGGTGACAGTACCCTGCGTAGGCATCCCGCGTAGGCACCTAACAAAGAGAACCTCTCGCGTAGGCATTTGCTTGAGAGGGGAGCCCAGGCGTAGGCACCCGCGTAGGTACAGACCCAGTGTATAAGCCCCACACCACAAAAAGAATCACAACTCATATATGTCGACCACGCTGCGCCACCCAACAACATAATTAATTAGATAACATTTGCACTGTTTCTTCTCAAACTGACTCATCACTGCTCCCAAGTGGTTCCTTTGCTGCAGCTCGGATGGAATCCAAAAAACAATGTTCCTTGCAACGTTCTAAGGCTGCCAGCCTTTTTTGGGAAGGAGGGGGTCTTGTAGCACCTTGTAGCTGACGTCTCCTTGCTAGTATTGCTGACCTATGAGAAAGCGATCCAGGTGCTAAAGAACATTCTTGAAGCCAGGAGTGTGTGGAAAAGGACGGAACATGCCAACATTTTGGCTACCGAGTCTGGGCACTCCTGGCCTCTTGGTGTTGCTGGAATGATATCGAGTTATTCGTGAAGCAACGATGGATATCTTCAATATCAACCAGCACGGATACTGCCAGCTGTTATTATTATGTAGCAAGTGGGAACCCTCGTCGGAAATTTCTTGCGACAAGCCAACGTGTCAGTGCAGCTTTGACCACGCTGCTCAGTGCTATGTACTGCTCCAAAATGATTGCACCCCACCGCACGGCAGCTGGGGAGTGTCATTTCATCTCGCATCTCTTGGCACAATCGCAGGCTATGCAGCGAATGAAGGAGGGGGACAAGTGGGAAATTTACATTCCTGCTGAGCTTGGCTACGGAGATGAAGGGACCCCAGGAGGCAAGGTCGACCCAATAGTTCGAATCTTTTCAAACAAGTGTGCGAACACGTGCGAACAAAGCGAGGCCCTATTCCCCCCAGTGCAGCGTTGGTTTTCCAAATCCAGTTGTGCACTCAGTCAGGACGATAATATCGTATGCCTGAAGAATGGCGAGGGGTCTTTAAAGACATCCTTCCTTGAGGTTGCTCAAGATCAATGGATGATTTGTGAACTGAAGCTCGCAGACAGCAAGAAAAGGGATGCCTGTGCACGTGGCAAGTCAGACCGCCTTGCAAATTGTTTGAGTTTGGGTGTGACTATATTAATCATTATTAATCTATATCATAGCTTTTGGCAGTCGGCTTTGCGATCGCCATGAGATGTTCTTCCTTTCTTTTCTGTTTTGACGTTTGTCAGGTGGGGTGGAGTAATAGCGTTTGGACCACATGCTATGCCACTGACCTGCTTCGCAAATGGTACGCGACATGTGCGGGGATTACAAATATAAACAAAACTATAGAGAGCTCAATGAAATGGACCATGAAACCTTGAACATGCCTGTGTTCAACACACACACACACACACTTGGAAGTAATGATTTTCCAACAACACAAAAACCCTAAGATATTGAAGCTCGTCAAAGCACTTGAAACTTGAGCCAGCGAGAGTGTGTTAGGCGCAAATCACGCAGTTCTGAATTTGACTTGGACGTAAGAGGCTGCTGCCTATATCGCACACTTCCACCCGCAAGCACACGAACATAAGAAACTTCTTCTCAGGAGTCCCAGGAGAATTAATTACATAAGAATGCAGGACTGCAGGAGACTTCTGGAAGTTGCAGCTGCCAAGGAGTTCCACTGATTGCCAAGAAGTTGCATTGACCCGTGCACTGTTTAGGAGGATTTTGGATGATTTGTATATTATGCAAATTAATATATAAGTAATATAACATATTTAAAGCTGTTTTGCAAGGACCTGTGTTTCATCATTTCGTGCAGAATGTTATTGATGTTGTTGTTCATTTTTGGTCTTCGAACAAGACATTATGCTTTGTTGGGTGCACATGGGTCTACCGATAGAAAATACATTGGCCATTGGACCTGGTCAGGCTGCTGGCAAGGCTCAACGCATTTTGTTTCCCAAGGTACTGATCGGCCTGTCATACCATGCAGCGGACTGTGCCATCCGTATTTGCTGGTTTGATTTTGATGATGCAAAGCCGGGCTCTTTGTCGCAACAAACAGGGTCATGTGCGAGATGCCGCAGCTGGTTCGCGTGGCCTTGAGCAGCAGTTTCAGGCACCCACGCATAAAACCTTAAACTGCCAACAGACTGCTACAATAATCACGTATTTGGTGACTTCTTTACAGTAATGACAACCTGGTGAAACCAAGAACTCACCGCATTGATTGCTCGCCGCTTCGCTTGCCCAATACTTACAAGAGTTCGCTAGCTCCTTGCTTTGTCATACTTGTAGGTGTCACCACTTCACCAGTCACAACAAGAAAAGGTCCTAGTAGCGTCCTTGTTACTACTAGCAAGGCACTTGTTACTACTAGCGATGCACTTGTTCCTAGTAGCGACCTCTTGCGCTTTTGGACCTCTTGCACCCCTTTGCCGAGATATTGAACGCATCTTCATGTTCGACGAGCATGTTGAGCGCTTGCAGCTTCTGCAGCTTGTTTTGACAAATTGCAAATGGGCAGCTAATCAACCAGGAGCAGAATGATCCAAATAGTCCCCGGATTAGTGTTTCCCAGAGAGCAAGACATATGTGTAGACGTCTCATTTGATCTCATTTGTTTTGCAAAGGGTCTTCTCCATGCACCAAGGTATTCCCAACAAATAGCCAGTACACGTCGGTAGAGTGTACAACATCTACAACTTGCTGCCGTTTCGTTGAGCAATTCCAAGTGCAGTTCAGGTTCCAACACTGCTTTTGTTGTGTTGCAGCCATACAAGCAAAGCAGAAGGCATGTAAGTTGAAGTTCAAACCTGGCGGCTCCTGATGGCACACTCAAGAGCTGAGCCACGAAGCTCACGGGCAAGGTGGGTTTTACAATATATATATACATAAGTATACATAGACATATTGTTACGAAAGCCAGCCGATAGGCTGGGCTTGAGTTTGCTGGAGCGAACGAAGTGAGTAAAGGGGGTGTTGGGGGGGGTGGTTGCGTGGTGGCTACATTTCGGAGAGGTGAACCCAGAGCCTGGTGGGGCAGAGCGACAGAATGAGGCGGGCCACTTGGTCGTGAAAAATTAGTGGTTTGAGGGGTGTTGTGATGCCGGGATGTGATTGACGGCGAAGAGTGCATCATCAGCATCACGAGGGGCTCAGGAGGCCATGGAAAGAGAACAGATTGTAGTTGTGGCTACGCTTAGCGTTGCTGTCGGATTGAAGAGGGTGCTCCCTATGTGGTGGGAGTTCACGTGAATCAGGGTTCCGCCTCCAACACTTGCTCGCTGCCATCTCTTCTCTCTCCTGCCTTCAACAACCCCCCATTCCACGTGAACTCCCA